CATGAGATTAAAGGAACAAGATGCAGATGAAATTAGAATGAAAGCACAAGAAAGAATAAAGTACCTAAAATATATGATGACAATGATTAAAGAAAGAATTAAATTTAATAAGAATGAAAATGTCAGAATCAATACAAATAAAATCATGTTTGATTCTAATAAGAAAATTAAAATAAAGAAGAAACACAAAATGAAATATACCCAAATAACGATATTATTTAGAATATTTGAAATCATTATATGAAACACAGGTGATATTAAATAAAGAACATTTGAAAATAAAACAAATCACCTCGTGGAATGAAAGATATAGAAATTATGATAATATCATCAACACAATGGATGATTTAAATTTAAGAATGATGAAAATAAGTAATTGGAAATCACCAGGCATTGACATTATATATTTGTATTATTGGAAGAGAATGTCATCATCAAGAGATTCCATTCTTAATATATTCAATGAATTGTTAAAATTCAATGAAAACATCCCTCTAGATATGGTAAGTGGAAGAACTATATTAATCAACAAAGGAGGTGATAGGAACGATGTCACTAATTATCGTCATATCAGTTGTACAAATGTAATAATGAAAGTATTTACCTCCATATTAAAAGATAATATTCACAATAGAATTAACATGAATAATGAATCATTAAAAATTAATAAAAATCAATTATGATGTAAACTGCAATCTCTTGCTGCTAAAGAAGGATTAATTAACAGTTATATGTTAAAGCAGCAAAAAGAAGAAAAATACACAAAATATGTAGAGTCATATTATGACATTAAGAAAGCATATGACTCAGTAAATCACGAATGGGTAATAGAATCACTAAAATATTTTAATGTAGAGGGTGTCATCATAGACATTGTAGAAAGTATGATGAACAGAATGAAGATATTCATATGATATAAATATAATGAATATCTAGGATGTATTAAATTGATGAATTTTACAATATGATTCATTATCCCCTCTACTCTTCATCATCAAAATGAATATAATTTCTCATTTCATAGAAGAGAAGTTCCTAAAATCAAACAATAGATTGTATATGGATGATTTGAGAATAATGACACAAAGTAATGAATAAATGGGAACAATCCACAATGAAATTAAAGAAATAATAAGTGGAATAAGGATGGAAATGAATGAGAAGAAATCAGGAATGGTATTAAAAAACATTAATAAAATACCAGATTGAATGCAAAACATCACATTAATTGAAGGAGAGGACTTGTATAAATATTTAGGTGTATGGCAGTTAGATGAAATTAATGATACATTCAATTGTAAAATCATCAAATAAAAGATGATGAAGAAAATGGAAGAGATAAATACTGATGAATGTAGTAATAGAAGATATATTACAAGAATTAATACTGAAGTAATACCCATCTTCAGATATTCAGCATCAGTAGTAAATTGGAATGTAACATAGATAGAATGGATTTAGAGATAAGAAAATATTTAAGAAAGGCAAAATACATTTGTGTAACTCCAAAGACCGTCTATATGTCAATATAAATGAAATTGGTGAATGATTAATAAGCCTAATTGACGAATATGTTATTGAATTAATCAGAACAGTAATGTACTATTGTACAAGAATGAAATAAAAAATAACATAATAGATAGATGGTATTCCAAGAAAGGAATATTGAATAGAATTAAAAAAGTACTAAGTCATAAAATCCCAGAAACGAAAATAGAAGAAATAATAAATGAAATGAAAATAAAAAAGAAAAAGAAGTAGTATTAAAAATAAAGAAATTAATGACCGACAAATACATCAAAAAATGGAAGTCCCATCAAACAAGTTGACATTTTAGAAGATGGTTCGAGTCAAAATTTGTAGATAAAACTACTACAATCAATGCATTGAAGTTCATCAATATAAAGAAAAATATATTTTTTCAATTAACTAAAATACAAGATGGAGTAATATTTTGTGGGTACAGGAAAGATAAAATATTAAAAAATGAAAGATTGAAGTACTGCCCACTTTGTAAAGACAAGATATCCACAGTAGAACACATTCTACTATCTTGTATTGGTCATAAGAAATCACAAATGGAGAAACATGACAATATTGGTATTATCGTATGGGATAATAAGAAAATACACAGGAAATAAACGGTCACGAAATTATGCATTTCATTCGTATTCATCATTATATTATTATAATGTTTTGTGATGTTGTTAATTATTTCATAATTGTTGTATAAATGTAATGAATGTATTCATTGTTTGTTTAAAACATGGTGTTTATGATTGTTAGATCATTGAAATGAATTATCATGTTGCAAATTAATTCTTGTTAATTGTTTAAAAGGTAAAAAA